ATTTTTATGTCAACATTCCAGAACGCGCTGAGCCTACGTGGCTGCTTCTGGTGTTTCGGAATCCTATGTGGTAAAATTACATGCTTCGTTATTAGGCTTGGGTAAATTTTAATTTAATTCCAAACCAAAAATAATTAGGTTCGGATTACCATAAATATGTTGATTATTTATGGTCATGTTACATGTATTAATTGTATTTTAATATCATTCCTTATTATAACTATTGAATTGTATATATATTTTAAAAGTTAATAACTTTTGTATTTTTTATCAGTTTTACATATGTAATATATCAAATTAATCTTCTTTTGATAAACTTCGATTTAACATCCATATTGTATGTATAAAAAAATAATTTATATTTATCTTTATAACAATAATAAAATTATTTTTAATATTAATTAGAAAAATAAAATTATTTATCAACTAATATATTTATATTTCAAGTAGTTATATGATATAAGTTATAAAAACTAATATAATATAACACATGTAAGTCATAAGTAACACATATCATTCTAAAATATATAGTAATATATTTTTTTTTGTAAAAAAGTAAACTAAATTTAATATAATTTTTTCATTAATTTTAAAATTTAAGAATAATTTTTTAACAAACACCCGTGTAATACACGGGTATTGTACTAGTTCTTATTATATATGTATAGATGTTTGCAATGGTTGTATATATGTAAATATATATACACTAGACTACATGTACGTAATTTTTTCCCAATTGTATTTCACAAGTCAATAACTCATAGGTAAAGCATTACACACATCTACAGTTCTTCTACACCCTCGGATCCTCCTGACAAAATCCTCTCCAGTCGTTACTTCTCCGGTGAGTACAGTTCCTTCTTTTGGTTATCCAACGTTCTTGAATTGATCACATCTTAGATTTGCAGTCCGAATATGGATATTAATTTGGATTATCTCTGTGAATTTGTGCTTGGGCGCGTCAGGAATCGAGTCGAAACGGGCGATTCCTTCTTTTGATGTTCTGTTGATATGGAGTTTTTAGGTATTTGTTTTGTATTGTAAATATGTGGGTGAATGCAAGATAATTCATCTGTAGTTGATCTTAAAGTCAAACTTGTAGATCTGTGATTGTCTGTTACTCAAAGATCTATTTGAATTGATTATGTGTTGTCAGTAGTATTTGTGGGGTGATGGGCACCTGTGTTAGCTAGCAATGGCAGCCCCCAAAATGTTGTAAAAAAAAAAAAAAAAGCAAAAGAAAAGCCCCCATGTTTCTAACAGTTGCTCGAGCTATTTAGCTGAAGGTTCCGAATTCGTCTAACGTAATTTGGCAGCTGGGTTGTTCGCGGTAAAACTGGAACTATTCCCTTGTGTGTTTTTATCAAAACAAGCCCTTTGGGATCGTATCTAATTTGCAAATACAAATGGTAGTTCGTACTTTAAACGAGCATGAAAACTTTAGCAAATACCTCTTCACTTGTTCTTGAATGTCTTTAGCGGCTTCTGTTTTCATCTGATCCATATTTTACTCACTAGCTATACGTTGAAGTTTTAGACCATTTGTTTTGTTTGTAAATGGTTTTCATCTTGGCTTATTGTAACGATGTTTTGTTAAAATTTGTTGGTACCATATTGTTAGAAACAAGACCACGAGTGAGGTTTCTTCTGCTATAATGTGCGCGTAGTTTATTAACTTTTTCATGATTATATATTATATGTTATCCTTGTAACTTAGATGTCACTTGCTTGTGAACAGCCCCTTGTTTTCCATAAAATTTGTTTTTACTTCCAGAATCAGGAGAGCTTTTACCATTATGTTGAATCTATAGTCATACTAAGATCATTAGTAACTTCCTTTAGGTTTTACTTGTCGTCAAATGGTTTCTTTTACTGTTTCTGACTTGTACACATTTAGCCATTGCGTTCCGTATTTGTGACTGATATTATTGTACAGTGTTTAGCTGGCTTTTTGCATGTATCCTTACAGCTGTATAATGTTTCGATTGATACAAATAACAATCAGTATTGCATCTGATGCAAATTTCTGTTATTATATATTCTATTGGATCTCGTTTTATTGAATATATGATTCTCGTCTATATCTGGTGGTACATTTGTTCTTTTGTCTCCTTTACTTTAGGTGTTGATACATTAATATAACAAATGTACGTTCATTTCAGCTGGTAGAAAAGTAGTTGATGAGATGGATTGGCAAGGGCAAAAGCTAGCTGAGCAGCTTATGCAGCTGCTGTTGGTATTTTTTGCAGTAGTTGCCTTTATCACGGGATATGTTTTGGGGTCTTTTCAGATGATGATGCTTATTTATGCAGCTGGAGTTGTACTGACATCACTGATTACTATTCCTAATTGGCCGTTTTTCAATCGTCACCCGCTCCATTGGTTGGACCCAATTGAAGCCGAGAAGCACCCAAAGCCACAGAGCGATCCGAAGAAAAAGACATCAAAAAAATAGTTTGATGTGACTAAAGGAGGTCTTGACTTGCTGATTAGACAAACATTTTGGATATGGCTGTTACTTTCCCTTAAATACTGTTGTTGGGTAGACTTATGCTACTGTTTTGAACTAAATTATAAATTCTACAAGTGATAATCATGCATGCATCTATATATTGTTTTTCTGGCATCAGTTTCTTCATTATTGTTGATGGGTAGGTTGTGATAAATCTTGTGGACAGGAATGTCTTCCATACTTGATGAGATATCTTGATATACACTACTATTATGTGGGTTCCGTTATTTCTTGGGAAGTAGTTATTACCTGTAACCAGTGACGGATCTTAGAATTTCACTCGGGAGGGCCCGATTTAAATGTTATAACGATCTTGTAAGGACGTGAATGGACGTGCCCACTGGGTGCACCATGTCCTCGACCTACAAATACAAGCTCCACCATGAAAGGACTTGCCCACACTCCCCTCCCTCTTGCCCCATCCCTACTGCTCCCACACCGGCTTCCCCTCCTCAGTCTACTCCCATTTTGTCGCAACTCACCCCACCTCGGGTGAGGCTTTGCCTTATGTCTTCAGCCACCAAGCATAATACTGGTGATGGTCATCAGATAACTTCAGCAGGCTACAACCCATGTTATCTCATGAAAACCCACTTTTTTTGTCTGAAACATGCTCTCGAGCTTACACAAAAAGTTGAATTGAGGAGAAGTTGAAAAAATGTAAAAACAGGTTAAGAAGCTGATCTCCGACTAAAATGCGATAGACCCGCATTTGATCCAACTATTCACATAATTTTTTGCATATTGGTCGCGTATATGTCGCATAGTTTATCGCATAAATTTTACGCACTTTTCAATTAAATTTATTTCTCTCTCTCGTATATGCTATCGTATAATGAGATCACATTGCTCAATTATCTTCACCTTTATGTCGCATAACTATTTCGCACTCGCTCAATTAACTTGGCATATCTTTCGCCTAGTTTATCGCATAACGAGATCGCACATGCTCGATTATCACTTCGCCTATCGTTCGCCTACTTTATCTCATAATGAGATCGCTATTGCTCGATTATCATTTCGCATGTCTTTACCTACTGGATCGCATAATTTGATTGTCCTTGCTCTATTATCACTTCGCTTGTCATTCGCTTAATTTATCACATAATGTAATCGCACTTGCCCAATTAACTTCGCCTTTTAGTCATATAGTTTATCGTATGGGTAATTCACACTTGCTTAATTAACTTCGCTTGTCTCTTGCATACTTTATCACACTTTATCAATACCCCTTTGCCCATCACATTTTTTTCGGATAAACATTTCACTCATCATCAATTATCTTCGTCCCATTGTCCCATAGTTCATCGCATAATTTCACACTTGCTTGAATAGCTTTGACTGCATGTCGCACCGGTTATCTCATAACTATTTCTCACTTGTTTGATTGTCTTCGCCTGTCTGTTGCATAGTTTATCAAATAAATATTTCACACTTTATCAATTATCATCGACCGTCTTTCGCATAGTTTATATCATATTTAATTCTCACTTCATCATTTATCTTCACCTATGTGTAGCATAGTTTTATCGCCTAATTCGTTTCGCACTTTATCGATTATCTTCGTCTTTCTGTCGCGTAGTTTGTCGCTTAAATATTTCGTAATTTATCATTTATCATATCCTATTTGCCGCATGGTTTATCTCCTAATTTGTTTTTCACTTTATCAATTATTTTCGCCTATTTGTCTCATAGTTTATAACATAATTTTTTTGCCCTTCATCAATTATTATCGCCTATCTCCCGGGTAATTTGCATAATGAGATTTCACTTGCTCGATTATCTTCGCCTCCTCATCGCATAGTCGATGGCATAAGTCATTCACACTTCTTCAATTACATTCGCAGGTTGCATTTTCTATCGCATAATTGTTTAGCCCTTTATTAATTATCTTCGCATGTGTGTCGCACAGTTTATCGCGTAATCATTTCACACTTTATCAATATCTTCGTCTGTCTATTGCATAGTTTATCTCACAATTATTTCACATTTTATCAATTAGTTTTGCATGTCTGTCACATAACTTATCTCATAACTATTTCACATCTTATCAATTATCTTCACATGTCTGTCCCATTGTTTATCGCATGAATATTTCGCATGTTATCAATCTGTTGCATAACTTATCGCATAATGTTATCGCACTTTATTAATTATTTCCGTCTGTCTATCGCACAATTTGTTTCGCACTTTGTAGGATAAAAAAATTAAATTATTTTTAGACCGTGTGAAAAACTTATTCGGTCTTCAGAGCAGGGTCATAATAGCTATTTCCAAATAGCCAAAATACAAATAAAAATTTCCAAGCCTATTTAGCTTTGATTAATCAGTTTCTTAATTAAACATTAACTAGTATATATGCTTAACAAATCTGATTTGAAATAAAATATCATAGTTAACATAAGCACATTAGCCAACTATGATCCAAAAACCAAAATAATGGCAGTACATTAGCTTTTGGCACCAGCTACTGCACATTTATTGAGTCCTACCAACATTTAAAGCCAGGGCAAATGGACAAAAAGATGATCAGTACAATAGCTACTGCAATTCCAAACACTATTAGTTTAATCTTCATATTCTGATACCACATTTTTCTCCTAATCTTGGTCCCTTGTGTTCTAAAATCTTGTGCCTGCAATCAGATACTAAAGTTATATTCGAGTAAAATAGGAGAGAAATGATGTAAAAACTATGTTCGCAATTTTTACAAGAATGAAAAAACTGAAAATTTATCGGAATTCATTTTGATTTGTATTTTCTCAAGCGAACCTGCGAACGCAGATTCTCGGTTTTGTCGACGAGAAGTTCAATCTTCTCTCCACGGTCAAGAACCTACTCCATATTGAAAGTACATTTAATTAATAACAACATGAAATTTAAGAAGATGCTTCGGTTCCGTTACCGAACCATTCCGTCAAAGTTTGTAACCGTTAGATCAATGATGATCTAACGGTTACAAACCCCACGGAATGATTCCGTAACGAGACCTTAGCATTTTCCTAAAAGTTAATATATTGATATACACACACACACACTCACAATAGCAATAAGAAACACAAGATATTCATATAATATATACCTTCTCAATATTCTCCATCATCACACCTTTCACCTCAGAAACTTGAGCCTTCACTTTAGCAAGTTGGTTTATCTCCTCTGGATGATCCACACAATACTGCATTTGCTCTTTCAATTTTGGCCTAACCAAAAAATGAGTAAAAATTCCCAAAAAATAAAAATTACAAATAAAAAAAAAAAAAAAATGTAAAGTTTGTGTTTGGATTGCATCAAAAGAAAATATATATAAAAAAAGTAAAAATGTTAGGAAAGAGCATTTTACCCAAATCCTCTTTTCAAGCTATTAGGACCTGCAGTAGCAGCTTTACCCCCTCCATACTTCTTGTTGAAGTCATCCTTGACGCGCTCTAAAAATGCGATCGGTAACTGTCGACCGGCAGATTCAACAGCAACGACACAATATGCTGCAAAATGCATGGTAAATTAATCATTCAAAAAACATACATTATGTTGTCACAATTTATAAAAGAAAAAATAAAATAAAATAAACTCTCGATTCTTTTGAAAGATTATGGAAATCATTAACACTTTCCACTTAAGCATGATACTACATCTGATATAGCCTCAGCTCGGTTGAACCAAATCCATCACCTCGTAAGAAGGTAGACTCAGTAGGTCGAGATTATTTCAGGTCGTGGGGATCAGGTCTTAAGAAATCGGGGTCTGACCGAGCTACTCGGCTCGGTCAGGTACATGTTGACCTGCTAAATCCGTATCCATAGGATCGAGCTGGAAACCGAAGGTAGCTCTATGACATGTGAGCTGATGATGTAGAGACCTATAGACCTCAGCAAAAAGACCTACATGGGAAGAAGCACCCAAGGAAGAAGGGAAGGTTGTGTGTGAACAAGACTAAGCAAGGATAGTGTTAACACGATCACAGTCGAATATGAACAAACCTTCAGCACTAAGAATTTTTAGTTAGCAAGATATAAGGAACTAAGCAAGTAAATGAATAAGGTTCTTGGAAAAATGAAAGGTATGATTAAAATCTTTCTCTCTCACTTTGAATATTTTAGACTATTAATTAGTATACACCACCACTTAAAAGAACTGCGTCGGAGATCTACGCCGAGGACGTCCCTGACATTTTTTTGCAGGTAGTTGAAACAATTCAAGGACGGTTTTGGCGACGTTGGACTAGATCGAGGTTGTTATACACATCAGTATCACAAACTTGAATTTACTCAAAGACAAAACAAAAAGGATAATAGACCGATTAATAATTTTTCACCAGTAATAAATCTCACTACATCTCTTTTTGGTAGTGAGGTTGTGTCCAAAATAAATCCTTCAAGACCTTACTCTTTTATTCTACGCTCCGCTTCCCTCGCTACGCTCACTCCGCTACGCTCACTCCGCTACGCTCGCAGACATCAGCATGCCTCCTTCCTTTGTCAAAAAATGAGCCATACCAACATAAAGGAATCTGAACTTGCCATTTTTAGCTTAGAAAAGAAGGTAATAAACAAAAAATGCGATAAAGAGGGTCGGTTTTGCTATGAAGCAACAATTGGCTCCATAATGGAGTCAACTTTCTATATACAATAAATAAACCTACCATATTATCTGAGTACTTAAATAACAATAATATAATTTTGTTAATATGGTAGGTTTATTTATTGTATATAGAATGTTGGCTCAACTATGGAACCAACTGTTGGCTTCATAGCAAAACCGTAAAGAAGGTAGGGTTGGAGATCTCAAAATATGAAATCGAGTCTATCTCCTCATTGGTTACATAATATTAACCTGCTCGAATACCATAAAAGTAGATATCAACAACCATTGAAGAAGCAATATGATTACAAAACGAATTCAATCAAAGAATTAGAAAAGAAAATGACGTAGCAAAAGTGTAAATGAACGGCATAATTGAGAGACAACACTTATTTTTTTTCCCTAATTCAATCAAAATAAACTCCTCTTCAACAATAGAATAGGAGTCTTAAATAGATCTCCTAAAAATCCTAATGAAATAGCTTATCTATAAAGAAAATGACTAGGATAAATATATTTTCTATAATTAACTATACTTCTCACGAAATCTAGAACTAATAATAACTAAATAAAAGAATAAATTAATTAAAAACCAAGGATGTCAAACCATCAATTCCAGAAAGGCCAGCACACTCTCGTCTCCATCATTCTCCCCCCGTTAGATTCGCCTTCGAATCAACACAGACTCGTCTCCATTGGTGGCTTCGTTGAACCACACCCTTGTCACCTCCAATTGTTGAAACATTCAAGGAAACTAATGGGTTCTTTAGCTGCATCGTCAATCTCGACCAAATTAACTTGGATTGAGCATGAAAATCACAAAAGATTGAGATGTCGGATGCTCGAGGAAATACAGACAAGTGACATAACCTTTTGATCAAAGGACTCAGCCTTCAACCGATCAAAGGACTCAAGAAACCAAGATCGACGAAGAGCAAACATTGTCCCGCAGCCACATGGTCCTCGTCATAAAAAAGAGGTCGACTCTCATACTCAGTCGATCCCTCGTCATAAAAAATAGGCAACCCCTATTATTTGGTTGACCGCTCGTCAGTAAAAAGATGCGGACTGTCATATTTGGTCAACCCCTACTAATTCAAGAACTCGACGACTTTTAGGCCTATGGAAAATTCGGGGATCTCGACCCAGAATGATGACATATAATGCCGATCATCGTCGAACTGGTCTTCGTCTCGCGTCACCATTTTACGAATAAATTTACCTAGGATACGGTGTTCTCAACACCTCTATCACTGAAGAACGATGGAGGTGATCAAGAGTAGGGCGCCCCGCGAGCACCCCGATCGCGTCCGGTGTGAACCCCTCCGCGGCTGCCACATACTCCTTCTGACGTGCGTTTTGTATGATTGACATGGTAACATGTGGCCAGTTTCGGGCGAATGTCCTCGATTGTCGCCGGAAGAGCTTCACACAGGCGGCACAATGTCGCGATCTTGGCGTCGCGCTTGTGGTCTGCGACATCGTTCCTCTTGGGCGGCATGGCGTAGTAATCGTATTGGGTTTCTGATACCAATTGACGTAGTGAAAACTTAAACGAATGGGAGCATTGAGAGATAACATTATCTTTTTCAGTTTAATCAAATTCAACTCCTCTTCCAACAACAGAATATGAGTCTTAAATATATCTCCTAACAACCTAAATGAAATAACTTATCTACTGAGAATGAAGTAGGATAAATATCTTTTCTAAAATTAAATATAGTTTCTACCAAATCTAGAACTAATAGTAATAAAAAAAAAGAATAAATTAATTACACCAATGATTCCAAACCATCATGCTTGTCCATAAAGACCAACGCAATCTTGTCTCCCTCAGGGAGATAATAACATCTGCAATGTTACTTTTGTATTATTTAAAGCCATAAAAGGTCATACAATGTCTTATACACATCTGCCAGGTTATATACAACTTAGGATGAAGATCAAAAGCTTAAAAAGGAATTAAGAACAAGTCAATAAACTTTATCAAGACAAAAGGTAAAACACTACCTCTTATGAATGGATGTTTCATGCATACGTTCAAAAATATAAACAACATGGAGAATTCATGATTTTGATCTTTATACGCTATTAAATAATCATTATAGAAAACGGCAGCAACAAAACATAACAAATTGATCCAAACAAATCAAATTAGTAGAAATAGATAGATCATATCATACTGAATCCATTGTGGACAAGGTAATTGAAGGTATGGCCATCACAATTATAGGTGAATTTGTTGTTAGATGAAGGCAATTTTTGGAGACATTGTGAAGCGACCGACGTGAAGTTTCCTTTGAACTCCGTGTAATCTGCCAAAACCGATGTCCCCCTCGCCACAAAACTATAGATCAATGTCTGTTGACCCATCACACACACATACACACACACTGAAATTCTTCTGATACTTTTGTTTATTGTTACTATTCAAACCGAAAACCATAATTTAAGAGGAGATCAAAAAAAGAAAAGATAAGATAAGAACAATGGAGAAGACGAAGAGTGAGATAAAAGAACAATTGAAACTTACAAAATGTGGATTTGTGCCAATGATAGAGACCATGAGAAAAGTGAATATGTGTGGAGGAGAGGGGAAATTGGAAACAAAGTTGTATATTTATAGTATGTTACTATTTGAAATTGAATGTTTCTATCAGTTCAACAATTTTGTTTTGTCTAGAACAAAACAAAAATATGTAATCATTTTGATTATACTTATAACTTATGATCTAATTAGTTTTAAGATCTAGGATTTATTTTGCAGAATCCTTGATACTTAATTAAAATTAATTATTACACTCACCCTAAAGATGTGTTGTGTCTTTCACACTGCCAATTAATAAGTAATATGTTTTACCTAACTAAGTGCGAAGCAAATTAGGCGACAAAGTGGCGAAGAATATTGAAAAAGTGTGAAATAGGTATATGATAAATTATGTGATATACAGACAATGTTAATTGAACAAGTGTGAAATATTTATGTGAAAAACTTTGCTACAGAAAGACGAAATTGATTGAGTAGGTGCAAAATAACTATACGATAAACTATGGGAGAGAAAGACGAAGTTATGAGCATGTGCAAAATAATTATGCGATAAACTATATTACAAAAAAAACGAATTTAATTTAGCATGTGCGAAAGTATACGATAGAAAGGCGAAGATAATGGAGCAAATGCGATTCCATTATGCGACTGATAGACGAAGTTAATTGAGCAAATAAAAAATAACTTTGTGACATATAGACGACGAGTATGTAGAGAATCGTGTGAACAGTTCGGTCAATTGCAAGTCTGTCACATAACAATTTATTTAAAACAATGTTTTTTTTTTTTGTATGCGAATGAACCTGCGAAATTTATGTGAATCTTTCAGCTTGTTTTGCCTCCCATATTTTTTGGACTAGTCGGAAGAGCGTGTTTCACCCATAAATGTCGATTTTCATGAGAGAAACGTGGGTTGTAGCTGTTGCATGCGGGCCGAAGTTATATGCATACAATCCCCACTATTCTAATATTAAATGAAGATCAGACACCAAGGTCACAAATAAGAGATTGCTCCTTGTGTGACCTTCGTGTGCGACCGTTGTCTAATATGAAAATAGTTGGGATTGTCAGTATATATAACTTCAGCAGGCCGTAGGCGAAAACTGCAAGTCATGCTTCTCTCATGAAATTTGTACATTATCGGTTGATACACGTTTTCGGATTTACAAAAAAAAAATTGAAAATTGAGGAGATTTACACAAAATTTTAAACTTATTATCCTAATTTAGTTGATTTGGCCAGATTTTACGTATTGACTTTTTTTTAAAAAAAAAATTCAAAAAAATAGTCAAAGACGGGATTAATAATTTTTTTTTTTTCAAATCCATAATAGTAAAAACGAAATTTTTTGGGCAAAAACATTCATACT